TAAAACTTCTTCCGAACAAAATTTCAGCACCAGACCGCTTTGCAGGTGAATTCTGCCAAATACTTAAAGAAGAGTTAGTAGTTATCCTTTTCAAATTATCCTAAAAAAATTGAAGAGGAAGGAATGCTTCCAAGTTCATTTCTTGAGGCCAGGATTACTCTGATATCAAAACCAGGCAAAGAGACCATGAAAAAGAAAATTACAAGCCGATATACCGGATGAATATAGATGCCAAAGTCTTCAATTAGCAAACTGAATTCAACAATACATTAAAAGGACAACACACCACAATCAAGTGGCATTTATTCCAGGGATGTAAGAATGGTTCAACATCCACAGATCAATACACCTGATATACCATGTTAGCAAAATGAAGGACAAAAGTCATATGATAATCTCAATAGATGCAGAAAGAACATCTGGTGAAATTCAACATCTATTTATGATAAAAACTCTTAAATTTTTTTAATGTTTAATTTATTTTTGAGAGAGAGAGAGAGAGAGAGAGAGAGAGAGAGAGAGAGAGATGAATACACAGGAGAGGGGCAGAGAGAGAGGAAGACACAGAATCTGAAGCAGGCTCCAGGCTCCAAGCTGTCCACACAGAGCCCGATGTAGGGCTCAAACTCATGAACCATGAGATCATGACCTGAGTTGAAATCGAGTGCTCAACCAACTGAGCCACCAGGTGCCCCATATTTATGATAAAAACTCTTAACATGGTTATATCAAAGGAATATACTTCATCATAATAAAGAACATATATAACAAACCCACTGCTAATATCATCAATGATGCAAAGCTGAAGGTTTTTTTTTCCCTCTAAGATCAGAAATAAGACAAGGATGTCTACTCTTATTGCTTTTATTCAACATATATTGGAAGTCTTGGCCACCACAATCAGACAATAAAAAGAAATAAAAGGCATTCAAATTGGGAATAGAAGAAGTAAAACTGTTACTATTTGCAGATGACATGATACTATATATAGGAAAGCCTAAAGACTCTACCAAAAAAACTATTAGAACTGATAAATGAATTTTAAAAAGTCATAGGATACAAAATGAACATACACAAATTGTTTCTATATACTAAAAGCAAATTAACAGAAGGAGAAATTAAGAAAATAATCTCACTTACAATTACATCAAAAAGAATAAAATACATGGGAATAACTTTAACCAAAGTGAATAACCTTTACTCTGAAAACTTTAAGGCTGATGAAAGGAATTGAAGATGACATGAAAAAAATGGAAAGACATACCATGCTCATGGATTGTAAGAATTAATATTGTTAAAATGTCCATACTACACATAGCAATCTACAGTTTCAATGCAATCCCTATCAAAATACCAAAGACATTTCTCACAGAACTAGAAGAATCCTAAAAGTTGTATGGAACCACAAAGACCCCAAAGAGCTAAAGCAATGTTGAGAAAAAAGAACAAAGCTGGAGGTATCATGCCCCTAGGTTTCAAACTATACTACAAAGCTATAGTAATCACAATAGTGTGGTATTGATACAAAAACAGACACAGAGATCAATAGAATAAAACAGAGAGGCCAGAAAAAAACCCCATGCAAATATGGTCAATTAATCTATAACAAAGGAAGCAAGAGTATACAATGGGGGTGCGCACCTGGGTGGCTCAGTTGATTAAGCTTCTGACTTCAGGTCAGGTCATGATCTCATTGCTGGTGAATTTAAACCTCACATCAGGCTCTGTGCTGACACTGCAGAGCCTGCTTGGGATTCTCTCTTTTCCTCTCTCTCTGCCCCTCCTCCACATGCTCTCTCTCTCTCAAAATAAATAAATAAACTTAAAAAAGAATATACAACTTTAAAATAGATTAAAGACTTGAATGTAAGATCTGAAACCATAAAATTCCTAGAAGAAAACATGGGCAATGAGCATTTTGACTTAAGTCTTAGCAACATTTTTTTTCTTTTTAAAAAATATTTATTTTGAGAGAGAAAGACAGAATAAGCGTGGGGGGGGGGTGCAGAGGCAGGGAGAGAGAGAATCCCAAGTAGGTTCTGTGCTGTCAGTGTGAAGCCTGACGTGGGGTTCAATGCTTAACTGACTGAGCCACCCAGGTGCCTCTGTATCTTTTTCTTCCTTCTTTGCTTCCTTTCTTTTCTCATTTCTTCCTCCCTTTCTCTCTTTTCTTTTCTCTTTTCTCTTCCTTCCTTCCCTTCTTTCTCTCTTTCTCTCCTTCCTTCCTTCCTTCCTTTTCTCTTTCTTTTAAATGTTTACTTAGCAACTTTTTTGGCTCAGTCTTCTCAGACAAGCTTCAACAAAAGCTAATATAAACAAATGAGACTATGTCAAACTAAAAGCTTTTGAATGCAACCCTTCATCAAAACAAAAAGGCAACTACTGAATGGGACAAGATAATTACAAATCATATATCCAGTAAGGGCTTAATAAGGGTAAAAACACATAAAGAAGTTACACAACTTAACAAAGCAAATAACCTGATTTAAAAATGGGCAGAGGGCCGAATAAGACATTTCTCCAAAGAAGACATCCAGATGATCAACAGGCACATGAAAAGATGCTCAACATCACTCATGATCAGGGAAATGCAAATTGAAACCACAATGAAATACCACCTCACACCCATCAGATTGGTTAAAATCAAAAACACAAACAGCAGGTGTTGGCGAGGATATGGAGAAAAAGGAAAGCTTGTGCACTGTTGGGAATGTAAACTGTGGAAAACAGCATGGCGATTCCTTTAAAAGTTAAAAATAGAACTAGCATATGATCCAGTAATTGCACTCCTGGGAATTTATCCAAAAAATACAAAAACATTAGTTCAAAGGGATCCATGCATTCCTACGTTAGCAGCAGCATTATTGACAACAGCCAAATTATGAAAGCAGCCCAAGTGTCCATCAATAGATGAATAGATGAAGAAGATATTGTGTGTGTGTATATATATATATATATATATATATATACACACACACACAATGAAATATTACTTAGCCAGAAAAAAGAATGAAATCTTGCCATGGTATGAAATCTATGCTGTGACAACACAGATAGAGCTAGAGAATATTATGTGCAGTGAAATATGATGGAGAAAGAAAAATACTGTAGGATTCCATTTATATGTAGAATAAAAACACACAAACGAACAAACAAAACAAAACAGAAACAGACTTACAGATACAGGAAACAAACTGCTGGTTATCAGAGCAGGGAAGGGTGTCAGGGGCAGGGTAAATAGGCAAAGGAGATGAAGGGGTACAAACTTCCACTTATACAGTAAAGAAGCCATGGGATGAAAATTACAGCCTGGGGAACACAGTCAATAGTATCCTAACAACTTTGTATGGTGACAGATGGTAACTAGACTCAACATGGGGATCATTCCATAACGTATATAATACGGAATCACTACGACAGGCATGTGAAAGGAATATAATCCTGTACGGCAATCATGTCTGTAAAGGGTGTGTGCCTCAAACATTTGAGAAAAGATGACTGTCTAGAAAAGCCACTGTGTTCATTTCATGGCTCTCCAAGGTCCTGGATGCAGCTGTGAGCAGCAGCCACCTGCCAGGAGCCCAGCATGGAGCCCAACTGAGACCCCCTGAGATGCCAGTGGGAGCCTAGGTGCCACCTTGCAGGGAAGGGGCAGCCTTCCAGCCTCACTGGTGGGGGTGGTGGGGCTGACATTTCCCACTTCCCCCAGGACCCCAGAAGTAGGTCAAACCATCAGGTTTGCAGGGGCTGGGAGAGGGGGGCTGCCCCACAGAGCCCCCTCTCTCTGCGGCCGGGTCTGGGCAACGGAGGGAAAGGTGGGTGAGGGGGAAGTCAGTGACCCGAAGGCCCTCTCAGCTGAGTCCTTCCTGCCCTGGCATTGTGGCAATAGTGCTTGAGGTTTCTGGACCATGCCCACACCTTGGGCAATGCCTCTGTGTCTCACTCTGATGCAAGCCCAGGAGGCCCACTAGTGGACCGTGCAGCAGGGAGGAAGGAAGTAGGGGACAGCACCACTGGGCCCTGCTCAGGTGTTCTAGCTCATGGGGGAGGTGTTTCCCTGCCACAAATCGCAGGCTCTCTTTATCCACCTTGTAGACCCAGGGGCAGTGGGAGTCTGGTCAAGGGTGGTCTGGGTGAGGCCAGGCCAGGTGCTCTATGGTCTCACCCCTTCAGTGGCCCCACCTTACCTCTGTCAAAGGCTGGCCAGGGTGGGAATAGGGCCCAGTATCTATGTGATTTCAATCGGCTTTCTACCTGCCGTGGGTGGAAGAGCTCACACTCTGCCAGCAGGAAAGGCCCTGGGCTGTTTCTCAAAGTGGAATTATAAGGTCAGGATCATGAGGAAGGACCCAGTTCTGTCCTGGCAGTCTCTGGGGCTCCCATCCAGGGGTGCTGGGGCAATGTCACTTAGTAATGAAAGCAACATGTCCACCTTTCCTCTGTGTAGCCTTCCTGCCCCAGGAGCAAGGACTCAGAGCTCCTAGAGAGCCTCCGACTAGATTCGGGCCACCTATGGGGCACCCAGAATTCCTGGCTACTTTCTAGTTCCTCTACTCTGATTCCCAACCCAGATGGACCTCGGCTGTCCTCTGCCCTTCAGCCTGGGAGCGGGGTGGGGGGGGGCGGGCGGCCGTGAGCTCAAGACCCCTCATGGGTCAGCCAAGCTCCTGGAAGCTTCAGCAAGGCTGGGGTACAATGGCTGCGCCCCTCCTTCCCCTGGTCCCCGGCCCTACCACTGTCACCCCCATTCCTCTATTTAGAAAGCCATGCATCCACACATGCGTCTGTAGGGACGTGCCAAGCCTGTTGTGTGCTCCCGCACCTAATGCCGCATCTACGTGCGTGTGTGTGCACGCGCGTACGTGCATGTGTGTATGCACAAGGGTATTGCAGGCTCTGGAATCTACAGTCAAGCCTGCTCCAACTTGCCTAGCCCTTTACAAAAGCTAGCTAGCTTTCTTTTCTTTCCCTTCCTTCCTTCCTTTCCCTCTCTCTCTCTCCCCCCTGCTCCTTTTCTTTCTCTCTCCTCTGTTTTTCTTTCTCTCTCTCTTTTACTTTCTTTCTCATCCCAGGCCCAGGGTTGGGCTACAGGATATTGGGGACAAAGGCTGCTGGGTGAGGTCAGACACAACCTATGATGATTAGATCGCCTGCTAAGTTAGAGGTAGCGCACTTATCAGGCTGTGCCGCAATACCAATTCTCTCCGGAGAGAAATGGGAGAGAGTAGAAGGTTTACACTGGCAGTCTAGGGCAGCTGCCTCCCCTACTTCTAGGGCCTGGTGCCCTGTGAGTCAGAGGGGAAGCCCCTCCCGCGGGGCCCTCGACGAGGCAGTTCTCCCCACGGCCCCTCGGGGGCGCTGCGGGGGAGGCGGGGTGGGCCCCTGAGCAGCGGCTCTCGGGCGCCCAGGGCGCTCACTCAGCACTCGCTCAGCCGGAGGATTTCGGGCTGGCCGTGTCCTGCGGCTCAAGGAGCGGCAGGAGCTCCCCCTTCACGCCCGCGATCCCGCTCCGGCCCCGGGGCTCCAGACGCCGCCGCCGGACGGTGACATGGGCGGCCCCCTAGAACCGGAGGCCAGCGGCTGGCGCTGGGGGCCTGTGCTCCTCTCTCTCTTCCTGGCTGCCTCCCGAGGTAAGGTCTGCAGGAGCTTGGGCACTGGGGACGCGCACTGGCAGAACAAGGGGCGGCGGAAGTGGTCGCAGGCAGCTGGGGGCGCCCCCTCAGCCAGCCGGTCTCCTGCCTGCTGGGAGGCTCGGCAGGGGCCCCCAGCTCTCTGCCAAGTGCCCTGGCTGCGCGGTGGGCACATCTGCATGTTTTGACAGCTGCCCAAACTGCTTCTTGCCTGACCCTTCTCTGCCCAGAGAGCCCCGAGCAGGAGTAGCTGCTGCAGACAGGACCCAAAAACGGTGGGGACAGCCCCAATATTTTCTCGTGGAAGCCACTGGCTTTTGACACCTGCATCTCCCTGCCCCTCCAGCCTCAGTACTCCAGGATCTCACTGGGCACAGGGGGTGTGGTAGTCTCTGTGCCCTGCTCCCTGGCGACACTCCTGGTTGACCCTTGGGGGGCATGGGTCCACACCCAGCTGTGGGTGCCCTTCTGGTCCTTGTCCTGAGGGTCTGGCTGCTGAGAGTTGAGGAGTCAGCTGATTCCTGGCATCTAGCGAAGCTGTAGCTCAGGGACCGATGTGGGGGCACTGGGGAGAACGTGGGACACGTTCCCAGCTCACCCACGAGCCTCTTCTGGGTCCTGGGATAACTTAGGGCATCTTTCTGGTCTCCGTTTCCTTAGAAGCCCTAACACCAGGGTGGCACCAAATTCTTTCTCCCCAAGTCCAGACTGTTGCAACTCCAAGTTGGAATCTTGGCTGGGGCTGCTGGGGGCAGGGCAGAGGTCGGGGTACCCACAGCCTGGCCCCTGGTTCTTGCCTGCCCAGCGCTGGAGTGGCTGGATGTCACGGGAAGAGGGGGCCAGCAAGCCTTTATGGGGAAGGCCCAGGGAAAGCTTGAGTCATGCAGGGAGTCAGGGAGGCTGGAGGAAGGTGGGGCGCTTGGCACAGGGACCCAGTGGGCGGGTCAGGAGAAGAAAGGAGGGGGAGCACAGGGTAGGAGGGAGAGGAGGGAGTCCAGAGGACCTGGAATGTACCTCAGAAACTAACTGTGTGCCTGCAGGCAGCAGGTTATCTCAGCATTTGGAGGCTGGCCTCTGATAAGGAGGAGGGAGCCCACAGCCCACACACAGAGCTGCCTAGCCCTGGCCTGGATACTTCCAGTAGCAGGGAGGTGGTCTGGGCACCAAGGCCATACTTCATGGCAGGACATGCTCCAGAAGGAGCAGGGCATGGTGGCAGGTGGGAAGGCCAGCACGGAACCCACCAGAGAAGACTTGTCCCGCCCCTTTCTCCTCAAGTGACCTCAGGACGCCCTTCTGTTTTCTCACCCCTGCCCTGTCTGACCCCCGGCCGGGCTGCTGTCTGTTCAGCAGCTCCAACTTGGGAAACTGAGTTCTAGAGAATTCAAGGCATAGGGGCCCCACCTTGCAGAGTAACTGGCAGCAGAAAGGCTCAGCACCCCTCGCTCTGTATTGTCTATATAGCCAGAAGCCTTCTCCCCTGGTGGTTCTGGGTACTCAGACAGGTTGGCACTCCAAAGGGCCATCTTTTCCTGGGTCCAGTTCAGGCTTTAAGCAGTTTTCTATTTTAAAAGGGGTCAGAAGCATTTTTGTAGCTTTGAATCACTCTGGGCCTCAGTAGTCTTAACTGTGATATGGGCATGGTAAGGAATATTCATACTACCTAGTACTGTGTGCAACAGGGGAGTAAACAGAAGGAAGGCCTGGTCGCAGGCATGGTCACAAGGGTCTGTGAGTTGTTAAGACCTGCTCACTGTCCTGCTGAGGTGCTGGGTAGCTTTGGGTGGGATCCCTCAAGGTCAAAGCCTTCATGCCTGGGAAGGTGAGATGGAGGTGGCTGGCATAGGCCTCTTTTGGTAAGCTCCTGGGGTTGGGTCAGCACAAAGGAGAATGGGGGTGGTAAGCACGGTGCTCAGGAGCCCAGTAAGAGTTGCAGATGTCCCTTATCTGGGCCCAACTCAGAGTGAGATGGGTGGAGGGAAGAGCCAGGGCCCAGCAGACCCTAAGGGTGGCAGAGACTCTACCTCCCTTACAGGCACTCCTAGGACCTGAGGAAGTTCTTGTTCTCACCATGACCCAGGTGGCCCAGACTCCGGGACTAGCACATAGAAGTACAGTGAGCCCAGGGAGGGGAGACCCCCCACCCTTCATGGTAAACAGGACGGTAGGGCCTTATTGAGTAACCTGTGGTGCAAGCCTCTGACACAGCAAAGGTCAGCTCTTAGGAAATCTACTATCTTCTGTCCAGAGGCCCTGGGGTGGCTCTTGAGGCCGGCCACTGGGTACAAGCGGGCACCTCCCCAATTGTGGGGACAACCAGTGACACCAGGGAGTCCCTTGCTGAGCTGGGATGGTTGCTCTTGCTTCCCCCCAAGCAGGGCAAAGTTTCCCTGCTGGGGACTGACCTCTCTTGGAGAGGGTGGCCCAAGTGGGAGGTAGAGCTGGGAAGCTGAAAGAGACTGCCTCCCTAGATACATATACATACAGGTCTTTGCCCTAGCAGATCCAGGGAAAGAAAGAAGGGCTCCTCAGTGCCCATCCGGCCCATTGGCAGTGACCCCTTTAATGAGCACTAAGCCCCACATACTGAGCTTGAGGTCCCCAGGTTTAGGCCAGCTATTCATCCAGGAGTGATCGGCCCTCACCCGGGCGGAGCAAGGCTGGGATTGGTAAGGCAGCTTCCCACGGACCCCTGGGTCCCCTCCGCAGCAGCGCCAGCAGGCCCAAGGCCTTTCCGATGGCACCCTGTATGGGGATGGTGAGGCAAGGGACCTGAAGTTGTGTGCCTTGCATGCTTCCCATACAGTCCCGTCCCTTAACAGTCTGGCCTTGGGAGTCCGTCAGGACTAGGTTCAAGTTCCATAGTGGCCATTTGCTGCTGTGACTTTGGGCAAGGGACTCAGTATCTCTGAGCAGGTTCCTTCATCTCTAACATGGGGTGATGATAGCACCTCCCTCAGAGGGCTGCTGTGCATGAACTCAGCACAGCACCCGGCACCTGGGTAGCATTAGGCTGTTTCTTGGCTTTCCAAGCCCACATGCCATTGACTCTCCATCTAAGTTCCTTGCTGCCTAAGGAGCCAGGGTGTTGGGAGGACATTGACTGATTTCCTTAGGACGGGACTCTAAGGATCCTAGAGGTCTGAAGTATGCACAGGTCCAGCCACCTGTCAGCACCTACAGGCACTTAAAGCATAAAATGTCCAGGGAAGTACCTGTAGATTCTCTTAAAGTTCCCCAGAGATGGAGGACTTTGCAGCTTCAAGGCAAGGCCAGCTCAGGGTTTGCTTGTCTCATTGGGATCTTAAAACTGATCTCTACATTTAGCCTATTTACTTGGGCTGACTGTCCCCAGAGAGAAAGACTGTGGCTGTCGTGCCCATATATCATTCAGTAATGAACTTGTACTTCTGCCCAAGTGAGCCCAGTCCTTTAAAGGTTCTACATAGGATGCTATTTCCCATGGGGGCCTGGGTTTAAGTCCCGCCTCCTCTATTCCACTGTGGGATCATGAACTCACACTCGGATGTGGGCAGCCTGGGTGACGTGGCTTCAGTGAGGGGCTGTCCACCCCCTTCTGAAGGGTAGTTCCATGAACGTGTTTCCCGAGCTGCAGTCATCTGCTCATTACCTTTGGGACTTCTGTGGCATCTGCCAATCATAAGTACTTATTATTTTCCCCCTCAAATCAACTCATTCTTTTACTTGAGTAAATAGATTTAAAAGGAAACTTTCTACCATTGCCACCAATGGAAAGCCAGTATTGCCATAAATAGAACAAAATCGCACAAGTACATAATCGGAACGCCACATATTGAGTATTAAATTCTAGTCAGAAACTATAGTTTGGGGGAGGCTCTCGGAGTCTGAAGCCCCTGTACCTTGTTTAAAACAAAAAAGGTGGGGGAGGAGGATAACCTTCTCTCTGTGTGATTCAATGTTATGCCATAAAACTAAAAGTAAAACTGGTTGTGTTCGAGTTGCTCTCGCTCCTCCCCTTCACCGCAGAAGCAAACTCACTACTATGAGGAGTGTTAGGTGGCGGCCGGAGGGCGGTTCAGCTCCCCCAGAGGAAAAGAAAGAGAACGGTACTTCCCATCCCTAAGAGGTCAGGGCACGGTTGGAGGGCTTCTCTGGGCTTTTCCCAGCCCCCAGTTCTCCCAGCCTCTGTTGCCTTCCTCAAAGAAATACAGTGTCCAAATAAATACAGTAGCTCCAGCTGGGTTCTGCCTTATGCTGGGCCAATTAGCTATCCCAATAACCACAGCAGGGAGGGGGAGAGGGAGGGAGAGTGAGCCAAGTCCTTGCTGGCCAGGCCATCTATCCATCTGCAGGAAGGAGAGGGGCCCTCCCGTCAGTGCCCGGCTACCTCCCGTATAAGTGCCTGCCACTGCGACCGCCACTGAGCTGCCTGGCCTGAGGATGGGGCACAGAAAGGCTGGAGCCTGAACCTTAGGGAGTCTTCACAGCACAGGCTCTTGGCGGAAGCTGGCTAGTGCTGGTATAGTGGGCTGCACACAGTCATCCTCAGGGAGGGCCTGGGCGAGTCTGGGAAGGAGTCGTCCCGAGAAGCGTCCATCGGCAGGGCATCTGGCCAACCGCCCAGGCCCTCTCCAGGGGGTGTGCCGGCCGACGGCCTCCAGCCCCGGATGTGTGGATGCTTTCCCAAGGTGCTGGAAGTGCGGCTTCCTCCAATACAGCCTGGCTTCCCCTTCCCAGACTCCTTGGTCTGATGTGAATGGACACTTCCTGCGGGGGCAGGTATCAATAAACACATCTGAGATGCCCTTTGTCCTTGCTGGCCACAGACCCCAGGGGCTGACCTGCCGGCTCAGCTCCTCGCACGGGGGGCACTTCCTCTAACTCGGCGCCGGCAGACTCCGTCCTGATTGGTCCCTGACTCTGTTTCCCTCTGTGGTCCGCAGCTTGGTAAAGACCGAACCGAGCCTTTCCCTCCACCCTCCAGGGGCTATCCTGGGGAACAGGGCCTGGCAGGGAGCTGGAGACCAGTTCCATGGCTGTCTGGTGCTCCTGCTGAGGGTGGGGACCTGGCCTTTTGTACCTAGCACAGGGCCAGCAACAGCAGCAGATCACTGTTTACTTACAACGCGTAGCAGCAACTGGACAGAGTTCAGCTGTTTGGGTTGGGCTTCCCAGGCCTGACTAATCAAGCTGGGGCGTCGCCTTGGCAACCGTGGGCTAAACCCATGCCCCGTCAGGGAAAATACACAGGCCTGCCCACACCCACACACACCCATCCGTGCACACCCACAGGGTTTCATGAGGTGCCTGCTGGGTGGAAAGAGGTGAAGTCATGAAAACTAGCATCCCGAGATGAAGCCAGACAAGAGTGCTTCTCCCCTGGACTGGCACAGAAGCTTCTACAAGAGGCTGAGGTTCCCACAGCTAGAAAGTGGCAGAAGCAAGCCTAATTTCTGAGCGGACATCCTTAAGAAACTCTGCACCCCTGTGGCCTCTCTGCCTTGGGCCCGGCTCATGTTAGGACCTTGGTAAATATTTGTGGAATGATGGAATGATGTTTCCAGTTTAGGTGTGAGGCAGAGCAAGGATGGCGGGGTGGAAGAGGAGGAGCTCATCTAAGTAGCTGGAGAATGAAGTGTCAGCCCTCCCTGCTTCAGGAGTGTGGGGGTGGGGGCGCCCTTCCTTCCTGCAGCGCTGGTGTGTCTAAAGTGTGGCTGTCAGCAATGCCACACAGGGTTGGGTGGTCTTGGGTAAGTCACCTGACTTCTCTGAGTCTCTTCCCTCACCTTTATTGCTTTTTAAAAAATGTTTATTTTTGGGAAAGCCAAGCAGAGTAGGGGCTGAGCAAGAGGGACAGAGGATCTGAAGCGGGCTCTGCGCTGACAGCACAGAGCCTGATGTGGGGCTTGAACTCACGAACCGTGAGATCGTGACCTGAGCTGAAGTCGGATGCTCAACTGACTGAGCTACCCAGGTGCCCGTTTCCTCACCTTTAAAATGGGATGATAATACCCACATCAGGGCGTATTAGGAGAATTAAGCGAGATGAGTATAAAGTGTGAAGCAAGTCCGGATACATAAGAAGTGGCCCATTTCTTGCCTATTCCTCTGCCCTAAGGAAATATTTAGCCCTTTCCTCTGGCCACAGACTTTCGGAGCTGGAAAGGGCTAGGAATGTGGGTGGGGAGTCTCTTGAGATGAAGAGGAGGCGGCACAGGGAAGATGGGACCCACCCAAGGGCATACAGCAAGGACCCAGCCAAGTGTGGACTGGGGCCCAGGGATCTGTCAGATCAAGGTTTGAATCCTGAGACTGGGAACTTACCAGGTTCCTAGCAATCTTCCTCTAGGCGCTTCTGCCTCCTTACCTAGTAACAGGTGGGGAGCAGGGTGGGGCTGGGCCCCAAGAGCAGCACAATGACTGGATGGCTCCCGCCTGGGCACAGGCTCAGGGCCAGGGCCATTTTCCTGTCTCATAGGCTCCCGGCCACCCTGGAGCCAGGGGCTTTCCTCCCCACCCACTCTCCCCAGGCTCTGACAATGACCCAGGTGTCCAAAAGGATCTGCTCCTGACAATAAGCGATATCCTCCTGCCAAATAATTACAAATCCAGCTGGGCTATATATATCCCTGATAACGTGTGCATGTGCAGTTGTGGGTGGCACAGGGTGCAAGCATTATTTTCCCCAACTCTGTGCCTTTGAGCGTTCTCCCAAGGATAGGCTGTCCTGGGCCTTGACCTGGCTGAGTCTTAGACACAACAAACGGGATGCTTCCCACCTATTCCCCTGCCTCCCGTAGGACAAGATCCCCCCATGAATCCTTAGCCCACTGCTCTCTGGCCCTTCTGCTGAAATTGAAGACTGTCCCCCATCCCCCAAACCCGAATCCCCTGCAGCTTCTCCTTTTTCTAAAAGGGGAAGAGGTCCTCTGGGGAGTGTGGGGTGTTGGGAATTGAGCAAGCCCCCTGACCTGCCCACCTCCTGTGCTTGGTCTCAACAATTCTATGCCCCACTGTGGGTTTTCAATGAAATTGCTTTCAGTGCTGACAATCTCTCCCTGGTGCTGTCCAGGCAATTCTGCGCTCATTGCCACCACTGCTTGGTCCCTGAGAGCTGGAGCCTGATGCCCTGCTGAGAGCCCCCGGCTGGTGTCCCCCTGGAGGCCCCGCTGCTTGCTCCCACCCTGCTCCACCCCGGCCGCAAGCTGCCTGCAGCTTGCCCACATCTCAGCCCCACCCCATCTACACCTCTGTCCACTCCACAGCCCCCACCCCGACCCGGCTCAGCTCTGTGTTCCACTTCCTGCCTCTGCCTCCACCTCTAGTCGGCCTGGCCCCCCGCAGCCACCCCAGACATGCGGCCCTGGCCTCTGGCCTCTGCTACTGAGCTGGCTCTGCCCACAGACTGCAAGGTGTGTGCGCTTGTGGCGAAGGCTGCTGGATCTGGATCTGGCTCCCAGCCCTGGGTTCTCTGGGGTGGGTGTGGGGTTGTCAACAGGGAAGATGGAGTGCTAGCTGGGAGGGGTGCTGCGAGGAGGTGCCACCAGCGCAGGGCTGCTGGAGAAAGGGGGAGCGCAGGGCAGACGACTCCTTGGTCTGCTCTTTGAGTGGGTTTTAATTCTTCCTGGGAGTGCCTGGGAGGGTCCCTTCCATAGCTACTCCCCACCTCCATTTACTGGCACACAGGGTTCTGTGGCCGCAGCCACCACACAGGCCTGTGAGGGGGAGTCCAAGTCACTTACTATGATCTTCAGTGAATTATTTAACGTCTCTGTGCCTCGCGTTTTCTCCTCAGTGAAAGAGGAATAAAAACAGCACCTACCTTTATAGAGTTGTTTATGCCCATAAAGTAGTTAGCATAGCACAGGCTACATGCTCTTTCTTCTTCTAGTTCTAACTAGATCTAGCTTTACCTGAAGCTTCCCAGGCTCCAGGTTCTGAGTCTGTACTCTCTGAGGCGCTTCAGGCAAATCACTTTCCCCTTCTGGGCCTCTATATTTCTGCCTGAAAAGGGATCAGGAAGTTCTGAAATCTCTGCTCACCTCGGCAAAGGTTTTCCATAAATCTGGGGCTCTCAGACATGACTCCCTCTCACATGTGTATGGCGTGGGAGGATCTAGCGTGTGTCTGTCTGCCTTACTCTCTGGGGGTCTAACACTCCACCTTGCAGACACATTCTTTGGGGCCATGACTTTGCTAACCCCCCACACTCTCATTTAAACATGCAGGCACTCCAAGATTGCATCACAAGCTGTTATCAGTCATTCACACCTTAGTGGGAGAGAGTTTGAAGCTGGCTTCTCCATTCTATTCTGCAGAACTATTTTCACTCCTAGGAAATGTTTCTTGACCTGCTGGAGAGGAATTAGAGAGCTGTCTAGCTTCCACGTAGCAAACCCCAACTACCAGCAAAGCGCTTCCAGAGCACTTCATGTAAATTATCTGTTATCCTTGCCTCCATCCTGGTGGGTAGATGGTTTCCTTTCTGTTCGCTGGTGAGGAGTCTGAAACTCAGAATCTAAGTGACCCCAGCTGCTGGACTCCAATGCAGGCTGATCCAATTCCAAAGCCACACCGGGCCGCACTCCCCGTGATGGGGCAAAGCTTTCAGCTCTGCTGTTGGGTCCCAGGCTCTAAAGGCAGGGAAGGGGGTGTCGGCAAGAGGAAGTGGCATTATCTCGATTCTGGCAGTGGCAATGAAACAGACATTTCAACCTGGATTCTGTATGCATTTCCAAACTCTCCTTCCCTGAATGCCTGACTTAAAACAGCCCCTGACATGCCAATTAAAATTCAAATATCACAGATGTATAGTAGCTGCAGTTATTCTGTGTCCGCAGAGGGCATTAGGGCTCGCATGTCGTGCTCTCCTCTTTCCCTTGCTCAGGCGTCTCACAACCACGCCATGTGGTGAATATTTTTCTCAGGGCACACACGGGGAAGGTGGGGCCCACACAGCTGGAGGGGTGGGGCTTCTGGCCCCAGTATTCTGCTTCTAGCAGCCAGTGCTTATGGGAGTCAACACGGTTAAATGCTGTTAAATGCTGGGGGATTAGGGTAGGCTAAAGAGGACCAGGGGATGGCTTCATTTGCTTATTGAAAACAAAATGAACTAGGAAATATTTCTAAGAGACTGGGTGGCAGCAGGTAGAAGGATGAAGTGACTGTTCATGATTTCCCTGTCCTTGTCCCCAAGAACCCTGGCGTCTTCCTCACCACCTGGCCCAGTGGACTCTCGCTACTTGCTGAAGTCCTATCTGTCCATCAACCCCAAAGAGACTTCTTCCTTCAAGAAGTTCCCTGACCGTCCCCATGGCGGCTATATCTTCCCTCCTCCAGGTGCCCTAAAGGCCGGCACTGGTGTGCCCTTTAACCTGTGGGGTTACTTTGTTGGGAAAGCATGCTCTGTTGCACACCCAGCTAGGTCATGAGCTCCCAAGGGGAGGCCACGTGCTCAGCATCCGGGTGAGACGTAGCACCAGCACCAGGCACAGGCCTCACACATTAATAGGTGCTCACTGATGAGGAGGTGGGAAGGCCCAAAGGTGCTAATGGCCCCAGCAGGGTGGTCAAGGGCAAAGGGCTGCTGTTCCCAAATAGGCTCTGTGCTCCTTGTCCTGCCTCCCACCTGACAGCACTGGGCACGGAGGCTGGAAGGTGTGGGCAGAGCCGCGGTGCCCACAGTGGGGGCAGGAGGAGAGGGACACACAGGCTGGGCCCCGTCTGCTGCCCGTTGTCTCTCCTGTACCTTGTCCTGCTTGCCAGGGCTCAGGGGCGTCCCTTACCTGGAGAAACTCCTCCTCCCATACAGCCCAGAATGGAGTCAGGTTCAAGAGCTAATGAAGAAGCGGAAGCCCAGGGAGGTCGGCTGACTTGTCACGGCCTGTGGCCCGGGAACCCACATCTCTGGAGCCCTAGGCCAAGGCTCTTCCCCACTCTGGTGGAAACGGGAGTGGTCCTGGCTCAGGAGGTGACAGGCTCTTGTCTCTGAACAGATCTGGTGGGAGCCTTCAAGGTCGCCACACCATATTCCTTGTACGTGTGTCCCGAGGGGCAGAACGTCACCCTCACCTGCAGGATCTTGGGCCCCATGGCCAAAGGGCACGACGTGACTTACTACAAGACGTGGTACCGCAGCTCGCGGGGCGAAGTGCAGGTCTGCTCGGAGCGCCGGCCCATCCGCAACCTCACGTTCCACGACCTTCACCTGCACCACAGCGGCCACCAGGCCAACACCAGCCAGGACCTGGCCCAGCGCTACGGGCTGGAGTCGGTCTCCGACCACCACGGCAACTTCTCCATCACCATGCGCAACCTAACCTCAGTGGACAGCGGCCTCTACTGCTGCCTGGTGGTGGAGATCAGGCACCGCCACTCGGAGCAGAGGGTCCACGGTGCCATGGAGCTGCAGGTGCAGAGAGGTGAAGGTGTGCTCCGTGGGACAGCTTGGGGTGCAGTCACCGTGGGGGTGGTGCTGTGTGTTTGAGGGTGTGACCGCATGTGATTCTGTGCCGGAGGGTGTGTGATCCTACATATGGGCGGCCCTGGCACTCTAGGCCTGTGTGTGAGACAGGTTGGCTATAGTGTGTGGAGCCATGTAGAAATCTCTGGTTAGTGGGGTGTGATGGAGAGGAGTGTGTATGTCGTTCTAATAAGAGAGGGTATACAGGGCTAGGCTGGTGTATCACTGCTGGTGACAACATGGTGGTTGTGATATGTGACCTGGGGTGTGAACTGGGGAGTGTGTGTATGTGTGTGTGCGTGTGTGTATGCGCACGTGTGCATGCGTTGGGTGGGACAAGCCTCCCTGGCCTCAAGCCCACCTAACCAACCCTTCTCTTTGTTCCCACAGACAAAGAAGCATCACCCCAGTGCATCTTGTACCCACCTTCCCCCAGGGAGAGTGAAAGTAAGGAACCCCTCTTTTGGCCCTTCTGGGTTCTCTGTGCTCCTCTGTGTTCATCTTGGACCCAGGCCCCATTCTGAACTCTGATCTCATCATCCCAAGCCCATGAGACCCCCTCGTTCTTCCTTCTCTGCTGCTGCCCCTCCCTTTTGCTTTCCCCTTCACTGAAGCCAGGGGGCTGCAGTGCCCAGAAGCCACCTCCCCTTCCAAGGCTCAAAGCCCCAGGTGGGGTGTGCCCTGGTGACCTCTGGCCAAGTGCCCCCGTGACAGGTGCTGGTGCCACAGGCTGTTTTCGTGTGTGCCGCTCCTGTCCACCAGCCCTCCACCACCTGGGAAGATTCGCAGGCTGTGGGGTTCCTCTTGGCTTGCATCCACCCACTTAACACTTCCTTGTTCTGTGCATGGGGGAGGGGGGATGGAGAGGCTCAAGAAGGGGGGCAGACCTACCTTTCCTAGAGCTTTTACTCTGTGCCAGGCACTGTGCTAAGTCCTTTCAAGTACTGGTATCTCAGTGGATTCTGAACCTTCTGAAGTGGGTGGCACCACCGTTACTTTATAAACATGGAAACAGATGCCCAGAGAAGGCCAGCTGGGCTGTGCTCACTCCACCTTCTCCCTGGCTGGGGGGATGCATAAGGAGGTAGGTGGAGTCAGCCCCCTGGTGTTTGCCCAGAGAGGTACCCTGCAGAGGAAGGAGACACTGCTCTAAGGGATGTGGGGGCACTCAGAGGCCAGGAGAGAATGCCCAGCAGCTTTGAGACAGCAGGCAAAGGGGAGACATCTCAGGGGCACCCCACTCTTCTGAGAGGAGGGGGTCTTGGCAGCCTCCTATCCATCAGTATTTACTGAGCATCTACTATGGACCAGCCCCTGCCCAGGTCCCGCAGACACACAAGTACAGACCTCCCCCCTGCCCCTCCAGGAGCGGAACAGCTAAAACTAGAGCCCCAGCCAAAGCCTGGCTCAAGGGTCCTGGTAACTTTCTACTCACACTACTCTTTTTGGAACCAATGCAGAGCTTAGCCAGGAATTAAATTAGAACACACATTTCGGTCTGAGCCAGACCTGCACGGAACTAAAGAACTCTTTGGTTCAAGCCCATCTCCCTGCACACCACAAACCTTACGTGTCACTGTGGCACTGAGCCACTGCTGTCCTCACTTCCTCCCCTGGGAGCCTCCCAGAAAGGGTGGATGACCGTGTGTAGAATCATACAGACCGGGGAGAGCCTCACCTGGCGGCACACGTGAGTGTTTACTTCCCCTTGGCTCCTTCCACTCTGAGCAACCCTCCAGTCCCGCTTCTTCCTCCAGGAGCCCCCAGAGCTCCCTTAGGGACCATCACCTCTGCCACTTCCCATAGTTCACCCATGAGGAAACCGAGGTTCAGACCGGTGAAGGGATCGCGCCCGGCCCCTCAGCCGGAGCACTTGATTCTCAGTGCGCAAACTCTGCCTGGGGGCCAGGCTGCCCTTCCCTTGTCAACGCCAATTTTCTGGAAATTAGTTGTATGAATTGAAGTCTTGGGGACACAGACAAGAGATGCCAGTGGGGACAATGAAGAAACCAGGTACAAAATAGAGAGGGAGCAGAGATCTGGGTCATTTTTCTTGATCTAGACTCTAGAGAAGTAGCTGTGGGAATGAAGGAAACAGAAGTCACCTGGGAAATCCTAGGAGTCTGGCTGGTAAGAACCCAAGGGTGAGGCAGAACCTTGAACTTGATGGTCCAGAGTGAGTTAGGGCTGGGCTCCTCTGCTCTTGGGTTTTGACATTTGCCTGACTCTCCAATTCCCAGATGTGTGGCTTCACCCTGGCCCCTGATTCCCTGAGCTGTTGTCCACAGGGAACTGGCCCCCCCAGGGCCAGAGGGAGGTGTTTACTTCTACCCTGGCTATTGACAGCAGGGGCATGGCTTTGATGGCCTCTGCAGTCCCTCCTCAATCCCTTTCTGGACTCTTGGTTCTGGAGGTCTGGAGACTGTAACTGTGGTGGAGTCTTGTCACTAAGGTGGGCACAGGGTCAGATGCAAAGAAACCCAGCTGTACTTTTGGGGCCTGGGGGGGACTTGGGCAGTGCTCCCATTCTCTAGGGATCATGTGTCCACTGAGAAACGGAGCAAGTGTGTCCCTTTCCTACTAACAGGGAGGCCATCAGTGTTATCCAAGAGGCTGAATCAGGGATCAAAACCTCAAATCCCCCCTATGCCAGGGACCTGGTGAGTAAGACAGTAGGGAGAGGTGGAGACTGCAGTGAGCACCCAGCTACCAGCCTGTAAGTGCAGTTCCAATGGCCGCATGCTTGGAGGGGGGCCCAGGGCTGCTGGAGCCACTCCATTTTCAAGCACAGTCAGAAGTCCAGATTTTACATGCACTCTCTATTTTGTTTTTTAATGTTGATTTTTGAGGGAGAGCAAGCAAGGGAGGACCAAGAAAGGGGGGTAGAGATACAGAATCCGAGGCAGGCTCCAGGCCCTGAACTGTCAGCACAGAACCTGATGCGGGGCTTGAACTCACGAACCGTGACATCATGACCTGAGCCACATTCGGACGCTTAACTGACTGAGCCACCCAGGCACCCCATAGACTCTCCATTTTAAAACGTTGGCCAAAAAAAAAAAAAAAAAAGTTATGTACTATGTGGGCTACGGCAGGACAATACGGAGATGGCAACAGATAGTGGACTGTTTTCTGATGGTTTAGAAACATTTGCCTGGTGACGCACGTGCTTAGTGGGCCTCTGGGCTGGCCGCCGGGTACTGCCCTCGGCGCTGCTTACCTTAAGAAAGACCCTAGTCCCTGCTCGCTCTAAGACACGTGTCCCACAGCCAACCTTAGCACCTGATCAGCTAAGGATGCTTCCACCCTGGCAGTTCTGAGTTCTCGTGCTCTACCTGTGGCCCTGTCTCCTGATGTTCTGTTTGGAAAGTACGAGGGAGGCTGGTCTAGGAAATCATCTGAAAGTCCAAATCAGTCTGAGATCGGCGGAGGCAACAGGAGGTGTGAGAGGCTAAGGCAATTGGTCCCCAAGGAACCCTGAACTGCTGAGGGGTTGTGTGGTTTTTCACTGAGCCCAGGAAAGGGGGGGCATGGACAGCCTATCTCCCCACAAAGCAACCTCCCTATCCCCCTACACAGCAGGATGCTTGGTTTGCTTTCATCCAGGCCCCTCCTTGGGGAAGCAGGCAGCCTGACCAAATTCCCTCCTCCCCTCTCCTCCCTACCTATCCAGCCACAGGGTACCGGCAGGCTCTAGACAAAAAGGCACTGCTGAGCAGGTGAGGGTGGCGGGGCAGGGCTCCCATCCCCGCCTGCTCCGGAAAGGCCTGGCACAATTCTCCTGGTAGCTGGCCTGGTAGCTGCCTCTGCCAGTGCCTGACCACCTACCCCACGAGCCTGGCTCTGGGTGGCTACCAAGCAGTACTCCCTCCTCTCCTCCCCAGGTGCTGGCCATGCTTGGGGGGAGGGATGGGGAGCTCGGGGGAGGCGGGGCTCTGCAGAAGAGCCCACAGCTTCAGACGACAGCTGGGCCCACACCCCTGCCTTCCTGTCCTGGCCTCAACTCTTAGCCCGGGTTGTAAGGAAACCAAGCCCTGATCCCCTAGAGTGGCCCAGAGGGGGGGATCTGTGCCTGGGGACAGGAGTCAGGCCATGGACAGGGAGCCACCATGAGGGAGCACCTGACTAACCTCACTGATTGTGACTTAGTACCAGTCTGGAGACCTGCTTTGGTGACAAGAAAAGAGCGCTTTGTAACTCGCTTCTCAGTGCTTGAGAGGAGGTCCTATGACGGGGAGGGGGGTGGGGTGGGGGGGTGGGAGGGGTTAGAAATCTTCAAATGTCTAAATTGTAGAACGTGTCTACTTTCAATATTCCACAGCAAAATGCAGCCTTGCTAAGATCTGTGGGGGACCTCCTTTAATGCGAAGTTGAACTTGGTTTGTAATTAGCATAGCAGCTGTTCCTGTACCAGTGGGTATGTCTGAAGTGCCTGTAAACAGTCTGTTCTCTTCCGTGGTCTGAACAAACCCCCGGAAAGCTTATTCACACCATCAGGGTATTTAGCAATACAATGAGATAAAAACAGCCTTTATTCCCAAATAAATAGCGCAAAGGCCACACGGAGACCACAGCCCATCTACCTACCCAGGGCTCCTGGGCCAAGCGGACCCTGTGACAAGGTATCCCAGTGCGTATTTTGGGAAGGGCTAAAATCAGGAAGGAAATGCGTTTACACTGGTCGTGGTTCTGAGGGCACGTCTGTTCCCAGCTAAACTCCTGGAGTCAGCAGATGGGCAGAAATAAATCTAGCCTCTCAGGCTGTTGGTGGGATCGTGAAGCGGTACAACCTTTGTGGAGGGCAATTAGGCAATACCCTAAAAGAAAACGCACACACCCTGGCTCAGCACTTCCACTGCTGGGAGTTTGTGTACAGAGGAACTTGCCCAAGCGAGCGAAGATGCACGCACGTGAGCAGTTTGCTGTTATGTTATTAGTTATGTTGAAAAATGGAAGCAATCGACATAGCTACCAATAGAGGACTGTTGCAATAAATTCTGGGGTGAGCCCGTGATGAAGCCCTAGGCAGAATGAGGGAGATCTCTGTGTGATACAGGGATGGCCAAGCCATGCCAAGTGGGAAAAGCGATCGTCACGAAAAGCATATACATGCAGTTCACGCAAGAAAAGCATGGACTGTGACCATTTCTTTGCAGGGAGCCTGGGGACGGGGCAGGGAGGAGGAGGAGGAGGAGGAAACTTCTGGAATGTATTTTCACTTATAGTTGTTGTTGTCGTTTTTGTAATTTAGGAAGTAAAAAAAATTTAAATGTCAGTTAAGGATTCACAGTTCTCCAGTTCTCACCCAGGTTTCCCCTGGTGACTTGCGTGAGTGAGATCACTTCTGGAAGTTGTGTCTAGCGCTAAGGGGTCTCTCAGGGGATGAGTGGGGCCTTTGTTCATTTATTTATGTATTTATATTGTGGTATAACACACAGAACATAAAACTTGCCATTTAACCACTGTTAAGCGTGCCATTAATTATGCTTACAATGTTGTGCAGCCATCACTGTGATCTATTTCTAAAAGTTTTATAGCACCTGGGTTCCCTTTGACCTTGAACTTCATGGCATGGGGTCTGTGAAGGGCTTGCTTTCCCTTTCCAGGGAACAGCCTATGGCCCAGGCCACCGCACTCTCCCCAGGGGGCTGGGATGAAAACCCTTCTCTCTCTTCTCAGGAGCTGACTCCCCTGTAAGTCCCCGGTCTCATTTCTGTGTGCCCGGGGCCCACTGGGGAAGGACACATGGGGCTCTCTTTGAAAGGGGATCCCCGACCTTCTGTGCCTCTGCAGGTCATTGAGGGTCTGGCTGTGCGGTCTGGGTAGAGCTGGGTCCTCCTGTGGCCTGGCCTTCCCTCGCTGGGCTTCAGTTTCCCTTCAGGAGGAACAGGGAACAGGGCCTCACCTTGGCTATCTCTCTGCCTTTATAGGCATCACGGCTGCTGCTGTGGCTACAGGCGCTTGCATCGTGGGCATCCTCTGCCTTCCCCTCATCCTGCTCCTAGTCTACAAGCAGAGGCAGGTGGCCTCCAACCGCCGTGAGTATCCCTGCCTGCCTGGGGTGGGTGAGGGTATGACTGAGCTGGCCCAGCCCCCGCCCAGCCTCTGCGACTAGCAAAGAGGCAGGCACATTTCCTCTCTGTTCCAGATATGGGAGCTGCTGTAGTCCCTTCAAGGAGCTGGGCTCAGGGGTGGAGAGAGGCGGGGACCCGGGTGTGCCATTTGGGGGGGCCTGAGTGCCACCCCAGCCCCATATGGTGCTGGCTGGGCACTCGCCAAATACCTGTTGAATGAATGAATGATCACATGGAGTAGTTCAAAGGGGTTTATAAAAATGCTGCCACTTGGCGATCCTTTGGGGACCTGCTTTAATGCGTGGCTAGGCTTGTTTTGCAACTAGCATGGTAACTGTCAGGACAAAAATGACCTTTGGCTTATCAGAACTGGAAGGGATCTTGGAGATAATAGTTCAGTTCTTTCATCTTATAGCTGAAAAAGCTGGAGCTCAGCGGGGTTAAATAATTAGCCAAATGTTATGTAAGTTACTAAGTGGCAGAGCTGGGACTCAAACCCAGAGCTTCACCTCATGCTTTTCTCAGCAAACATAATCCCGCCAGATCATCAAAACATTCATCAGCACGAGTATCCTAGCCACCAACCTCTACCTGGAAAGGGTGCTGTGCTGCGGACCACACTGAGTTTGTCACATACCTTCTTTCACTTATTCCTCATAATGACGTGAAGACTTGGTCTTACAATGGTTCCTATTTTACCATGGAGGAAACTGAGGCACAGAGAGGTTTAGTAACTCGCTTAAGGAGCCTCACAGTAAGTAAGCGGTGGGGCCAGGCTTCAAGTCACGGCCACACTTCACCCTCCTCTGTGGTCACAGTGCCCTTGCCTTTCCTCTGACCCCGCCCATGAACCTGGGCTAGTCTGAGTCCTCTAGGAGCAGGCCCTAGAGGAGGCCCTGGGGCTTGCATCGCCTCCCCCACCTCTCCTCTGCTCGGCTGCAGGAGGGAGCCCAGAGTGGGGCTGCTCTGCCCCCAGGTGGCTTTTGGCTCACACCTGATTTCCTTTGGTGGGACTATAACACTGTTAGACCCCCTCTCACCTGGAGCCCCGCAGTGACTTGCTCAGGGGCTGTGACCATCTTTCCCTTACTCTAATATTTCTCTCGCAAAACCCACTGTGACTTATCTCCAGAAATATCCAGTGGTGGAGGAGGTGGGTCGGGGGCAGGTTAAGGGGGTGGAACAGAAGGAGGAACCCAGGGGCTCAAGCAGTCACCGTGGGGCTGCTATGACTTGTGTTCATCTGAGCAGCATTTTCACGGAGGAACAGACATGGAGGGAGACATGCTCAGATCCCAGATAAAAAGAGGTGCTTTCTGTCCCCCTTAGTTCAGACCACAATGCTACCTCCATCAGGGAATGGGAACTGGAAAACAAATTCTGAGCATTGGCTAGGCACGGGCCCCGGGCCGGAACACCACAGGGGCAGACTGAGGACCTGGGAAGCCTGGAGTCACCCGCTAGTATCTCCTATTCCATGCGCTGGGACACCTTGAGTCTGAGCTGAGGGCTTCCCAGAGGAAGCACCGGGATGGGGCAGATGGACCAAATGCTGCGGAGCTGGAAAGAGGGGGCAGGTGGTCCTGCAGGCCAGCTAGCGCTGCGCGGTGACCAGTGCCACGCACCTCCTCTGACACTCTAAATGGAGCTGGGTTCCTCAATGTGCAGCCGCTTATAACTCTTTATCCCCAGGTTCAATATGTGCAGTAGCAAAAAGGTATCAATAATTTATCTTCTGATAAAAGTACTTTTGAGGCCAGTTTGCCTACCTCCTTCCCACCTACCCCCCCTCCCCCCAAAAAAAAGAAAGAAGAGAAAATGAGTTGTAGGACCAGTGGTTTAGAGACAGACACAAGAGATGCCAGGAGCAAAATGGAGAGGGAGCAGAGACTGGGGTCATTTCTGCATCTAGACTCCGGAGAAGTGTGGCTGCTGGAGCCATAGGGACAGAAGTCACTGGGACATGCCAGGGGTTGGGCCACAAAGCCAAGGCTGAGCGCCTGAGGGGGGCAGCAGGTCAGGGAGGGGCAGGGAGTGTGTGTCGTGGCTGTGGGCAGTGCGTCCTCTGCAGGGAGCCACGCTCGGGAAGAAACAGAGAAAGGGTTGGGAGCACCAAGGCAGGCAGCCTGCTGCGGAGGCTGATGGGTGTGGAAACTGAGCCAATATTAGATGGAGCCTGGGTCCTCCAGTGCTAATGTGGGGCCAGCAATCCGTCCCCCAGAGGGTGGAAAGGATGAGCCCAGGGAATGTGCGAAGACTTACGTGCAGAGGCACCCGGTAAGCAGTACCCATGATTCCGAGAGCAGAGATTTTGGGAACCTTTATGTAACTTCCCTTGTATGTTCCGCATACGCCCCTCCTGCCCACGTTTCCCCATAGTGGTCGGGGCAAAGCTCTTACAAATGAGAAACAAAGAGGAGCTGCACAGAAGAAGGAAGTTGGGGCCACTGTATCTGGCTGGTGGCCAGTGGGTGGGTGGGGAATCCCAAGAGTGGGGCGGGGTGGTAAGAGCTTGGAGAAAAAGCAGAAAGCGGTGGGATGTCTGAGATGTGATGGGTTCTCAGGCCCCTAAGGTTCCTCTAAGAGATGTCCTCTAGGGCCACCCTATAGGTAAGGCGGAGGATGGGCCAGAGAGGACCAGGAACCTTACAGTTTGGAACTGACCTTACACTACTCCCACTCAGTAAATTGTGGCGAAAGACCAGAATGTGGCAAAAGTCCAAACAGGAAACAGCAGATTTAGGAGTCAGGCCTTTGGTTGATACTTAAATCCGGAAGGTCTCATAACCCCTAATCAAGCCATGGGAGAAAGCACTGGCTGCCTTGGCCTCCTCATGACAGACCTTGTCCTTTCTCCTTGTTCCATGTGGCCCAAGTTTCGTTTATCACTGAAACGCACGGTTCACCGAGGCCTCGCCTGCAGGGTAAACATAGAGTACGGGCCTCCAGAGTGAACAGAAGTGGGATCCGGGGCCGAGCGTGGCCCAGCCTGGTCTTGCCCCCATTCCTCGAAGGGCAGGGAGCTTATCTAGGGAAGCCTTTCCTTTGTGACCATTTTGTCTGTCTGTCCCCAGGTGCCCAGGAGCTGGTGCGGATGGACAGGTAAGGCCCATGGAGAGCTTCCTGAGAAATCTTCCTGCAGCTGCTTCGGCCCTGACGCAAAGCCTGGCAGGCTCTCTCTCCTCTTGCCTCTCCCCAGGGCCTGTGGCTCTGTAGGGCAATGTGTACACCCGAACCACGGCTGGAGTTAATGTAGAAGAGAGAGGGGTAACCTTGAACCAGGACCAACGTCCCCCTTCACTAGGACCCTTTCCCCTCTCCTCCCTGATAACTGGTCGTACCGTGACAGGGCTCAGAACATGTCTGCATGGCCTCCCTGGTCCTCCCCGGGCACTGAGTCAGCTGTCGGGAAGGAGAGCTGTGCAGCAGGGACCCCATCTAGCCATCTAGCCCAGCTGCTTAAAGAGCATCTGCCACTGAGGCCTACACATGGGTGCTGGTTGGCAGTTTCCGCCTGCCACCCCTCACCCAGGAGGCCCAGCTCCAACGCTGCCTGGATGAGCCAGGCACCCACCTTGGGGCCTCAGTGTTCACTGGCCAGAGTGGGAGGGGGTGGGGGAGCCGCTGAGCTGGGGACAGACACTGAAGCATGCAGGGGAGGGCAGCACACCTGGAGCTGCGTGGTCCCTCCCCATGGGGCACTCCAAGGGGGGAAAGCTGTCAGGCCGCAAGGGCAGACGCCGGCTAGGGGCTCGGGGTGGGGCCGCAGGCTGGGCGCGGAGCGGCCGGGGCCGTGTGTGCTGTTGGTGCGCCCTGGGCAGGAGGGTCTTGGGGAGGCTGGCACGGAGGGTACCCCCAGGAATGAGCCACACTCAGGAACTTGGCCCAGGTGCCTTCACCACTGCACCCAGAGCTCCTCTGGGTGAATGAAAGGGATGATTTTCTAGACAAGTCCCAGGAAGTCCTGCCAGGGACCCTGCTGGCGTCTCAGAGTTGGCAGTTTAGAGATCGTCCTCTTCCCAAGCAGGAAGAGGGAAAGGGAACTCTTCCCTTCAGGTTAAGACAGGCCGTGGGGACCTTCAATCTTAATGCCATTAACTCTACTGACCAAAGAGAAACCTGTCCTCCGATTCCTGAATGTCCTGAAAGTGTCTCTGACCCCGGGCTTCCTGGCTGCACCCAAGGCAGATGGTCAAATAATAGGGTGGAGCTGGGGTCAGATGCCCTCAGCTCAGGAAAGATGGGAGAGTGCAGCCCATGGCCTTTGCGCTGTGGCCATGGACCCCCGCCTTCCTGCTGGAAGAGGGTGCTGAGGCCTGGGGTGTGAAGGCACGTAGGGGTAAGGAAGCGGAGAAGGGGGTACATACAGGCAGGAGGGCCGGGGCCCAAAGCCAGATAGTACAACTGACTGTATCCGCACTGATTTTCTAGCAGCAGCCCTCAAGGGATTGAAAACCCCGGCTTCGAGGTCTCTCCATCTTCCCACGGGATGCCAGAGGCCAAACCCAGGCCTCCCCTGTCCTACGTGGCTCAGCGGATGCCTTCGGAGTCTGGGCGGCACCTGCTCTCTGAGCCCTGCACTCCTCTGTCTCCACCAGGCCCTGGGGACGTCTTCTTCCCGACCCTCGGTGAGTGCTTCCCGACCCTCGCAGGTCATGACCTCCCCATGGCCCACTTGCCTTACTCCCCTCCTGTGGCCTCCCAGCCTCATGGTGTGGGATTAGGGGGTGGAGGAGAGAGGAGCCCCTCATTCATTCTGCTTCTCTCTTTTGCAGACCCTGTGCCTGACTCTCCAACCTCTGAGGCCATCTAGACTAGCTGGGGCCAGTGGGCGATTGTGGCTGGGCCTGGGGCAGGGGCATTGCAGGCAAAGGCGGCCCTCTGAGTGGTCCCTTAGCCTTGGTTCTGGTTCCCTTCCTCCTGCTCTGAGCCCAGACTCTTTGACATACCTCTGATGGCCAGACCCTCAACTCCTCTGGGTGCTACGTGGTGGCAGGGAGAAGGTGTTGGATCACTCAGCCCCTGTCTCAAGGATGGTGGGGTGCCGGGATCCCACCCCAGAGGCCTGAAATTCACCAGCTACAAATGCCAAATGGCCCACATCCTAGAAGCCCAAGAATTTGCAGCTCTGTGGCAGCTTCCTTCCCTAGGACAGGAGCCTTGTGACCTGACAGCACAGAGGGGACAAGATGGGCACTGGGCAGAACCCTCCTCCAGGCCTGAGACTCAGGACAGATGTGGACTCTTCCCTACTGTGGTGGAGCCAGTTCTCTGGTCTCGCCTCTGTTCATCTGTCAGACTCCCTCTGTGTAACCATGGGTCCCTGGGGCTGGGCCTGCCTGCCTCCCAGCCCTGGGTGCCTTCTGCTACCAGCAGCCTCTCCCAGTAACTGTCAATGGGTTCAGCAAATCTGGGCTCCTGTTCCCTGTCCACTGGTCCCCAGAGTTCACTGGCCAGGGTCCCTGAAACAGGAAATGCACACGGCGGCATGGTGGCCACTGTGGGCTCACTGGCAACTTGGGCAATGGAGGCCAGGCCAGAGGTTGCAATACCCGCTGCAGATGGGGTGGGGGAGCAGGTGGAGCCTGCTGGGAAGGTGAGCGGAGATGCTCCACCCCCGGTCCGCCCTCCTCCCTCCAAGCTCAGTGTGCTCAGTACGGAAGGTGACCACATACTGTCCTGTCCCAACTGTGACACTCTGGAGTGTGGAGATGGAGTCTTATTAAAAACTACATGGGCAATACGTGCAAACCCTGTGAACGGACTGTAAGAGCTGGGTTTTAGTCCCTGCTCTGCTTCTAGGGGTGCCAAGGAGCCCTCCTCCTTCGCCCCGCCCCCGGTTGCCAGTCTTCCTTCCAATTTAATCTGCTGAGCCTACACTGCACAGTGGCCCCATCAGGAGGGTGTGTGACACAGGAGGTTTGTGGTGCTCTGCTGTGGACCCTCTGCTCTGTCTCCTGCTTCCGGGCACGTCCCGGATTTGTTTTATATGCATATAGAAGGGAATCCTTTGTGGAATTTTGATTAAAGGGTTTTAAAACGTGGAGAGGAGCAGGGGGTGTCTATATACTCTGGGGTGGAAACAGGGAAGGGGTGTCCACCAGGGGAAGGGGCGAGTTTGAGCTGGGTGGGGGGGCCTGGGCACAGCACCAAGGAAGGCCTTCACCCCCAGGCTGCTGGCAACGGCTCTGCATAGCTGGGTCTGGGCACTGAGAGGCAGGACTTTTTAACCTGCCGAATTGCCTGGGGAGGGAAGACAAGAGTTGGGGTGGGGGACAAAGGAGCAGCTCTAGGCTCTCCAGCAGCAGCGAGCCCCCAAGGCTGCGGCTAGAACCAGGGAACCCCCTGGATGCATTGCATTGCTTCCAACCTCCCTGGTCAGGCCCAAGGGTGTGGGCCACTGTGGGTGTCTTGCTGGGCTGGGCGTGGGCCAGTGTGAGTGTCATGCCAGGCTGGGCATGGGCCTTGAGACTACAGGGTCACCTCCAGTGGCCAGAGCACCAAAATCCTAGCTCCTGCTTTGTCCCTGGCGGGGGGGTGGGGTCCCTCTTCTAGTCCATTGGCTGCCAGGGACACACAGTGCCAGTCATCATAGAAGGAGTGTGCTGTTCTAACAGCTGGTGGGGGTCCATGTGGCAGGGGTCCACTTGCTCAAGGCAGAGCGGGGCTACCCCTAGGATTGAAGGATAAGCTTTCAGAGCAGACTCCCTGTCCCCCAGCTCCGAGAGTGCTCCTGCCCTAGGGGGAAGCCGGCTGGGCTCAGCCCCCAGCTTCTGACCTCCAGGCACCTATAATTTCTAAGAATTTGGCTCCCAGACCCGAAGCCAAGCTGCTGGAGGGAGGGAGAGGGCCCCAGAGCAGAAAGCCACTACACTTCCTCCCCAGCTTCCTCCGGCACGGCCTCCAGCTCTACTTCTCCGACCCTTACAAGTGAGCACATCTCAGCTTCGTGGTTTCCTGTTTTCAGTGAAATTTACTCTGAGCTCCAAGCTCCATCTGCATCCATGACCACATGCCCCACCCCCCAAGGCCCTACAGCGTCCTCCCTGCTGCTAGCGAAGGCAGGCAGGGCTTGGCACCAGGGAGCCCTCCTTGCTTGCCTGGGGGTGGGTGGTGCTTCTAGAGACACCTGCCCCGGTGGCTTCTTCAGGGAGTGTTCTGCGCTGAGGGCCACAGGAGCACAGAGTGGGGCTGGGGCCTGCAGAGGTCGGGTCAGTCTCCCTTCCCGCAGCTTGGGCACTGCCTCCTGGAAGGGGCCTTCCTGGGTGTCCGCTAGAGCCCACCAAGGCTTGTTTGTGTTGGGGGCTGGGCTAAGGCACAGCAATGGGCAGAAAGGGAGTGGGGCTGCTGGCCAGGATGTGGGGTGCAAAGGCCTCCGAAGCAGCAGGCACCCAGAGCCCAGCTGCGCGTGTGTCCCAGCCCCCTGAGAGCACTGGCCACAGAACCCTTCTACTGGGTGTTCACCGTGTCCTGCTCTGCACTCTTGCCTCTCTCTCCTGCACAGATGCTGTGGCTCCCTAATGATTCTGTGAGTTCCAAAAGGGTGGGGGTCCAGGAACAGCCTGTCCTTTGGGCCCAGTTGCAGAGCTGACGACTGGAGCACAGTCACAGGGTGATGGGCTGAGCCGGGATGCCGGGGTTCTGTTCTCCGGGCCACTCACAGGGTGACTTTCTGCCCGTTCCAGTTCCTAGCGGCCCTGTCTGCGCTCAGTGGGGTCACCTGAACAGCCATAGGATGCCCCCAGCTTGGGCGGGCCAGGGGGCAGAGGTTTCCTTTTGTTTCACAATTCTAATCTGTTGGCATGCCTTCCGTGAGTATATTCTGAGAGGGATTCCGAAGTATCGATAAGGCTTCACAAGGAAACGCTGACATCAGCTAGCTCGGTGCCTCGGGCACAGGATGGAGAAGTGGCCGCATGCCTCTTTTTGCCTTTTCTGTTCCAACACTGCCTTGTCCGAAACACTTACACATGTGACTTTTTTGATTTCCCCCACCCGCACCAGAAAACCCTGGAAGGCTTTACTGTCTCCGTTTAACGCACAGGAAAAGTGAGGCTCTCAAAGATGTATCTTGTCGCCAGTGAATGTGAAACTGGGGCAAAAGCCCGGATCTTCTGCTTCCCAGGCCTGTGCTCCTTCCTCTTCACTGAACTGAATGGCATTACAGGCCAGGACTCGGACTTGCAGGACATCCCAGGGCCCTTGGGGATGAACCTGTGCCCACATGCCCAAGGCTTCGCTCTTTCTGCATCGTTCCCGCCACTCCCCTTTATGCACGTCAACCCTGGAGCCATGGGAACTCCTGGTAGGCATGGCGGCCCGTGCCCCTGACCTTGCTTACAGGGAGAGCTCCGCAAACCGCAGTGCCCCAGGATATCTTGGAGGAACTAAGCAGGTTGTAGGCGCGGCATCTGAGCAGCTGCAGAACATCCCTCAAGAAGCAGGGTGAGGGAAGGATGTGAATTGAATCAGGCTGGGCCGGAGGAGGCTGGCTTACTTGGTGCACAGAACAAGGAAAGGGCCAGGCTGGGCTTTCCTGAGCCAGGGGAAGCAGACTTCACTAACAACAACACGGTCAAAGTTTAATAAACAGAAGAGCTCTTGGCCCTAAAGACATGAGGTCAACTGCCAAGAGCAATGTCCCAGCTCACAGACTTTCGTGGGGCTATCGCTGGCAGCTCTTCTACCCGCAAGTGGGTAGTAGGAGACTTCTGTCCTTCTGCCTGGACAGGTGACTTCTGCAGGTCCCTACCAGCTGGAGAAGCCGGAGCTTGTGATCTGGGACCATCTAACCTGCTGGCTGTGGTTCGTGTGGCAGGGAGGCCCCCATCAGGCCCTTCCTCTCTCCATCCTCCTGCCAAGGTGCCTCTGTGGCTGGGGCTCAGCTCCTGACCTCCCAGTTGCCTTCCGTCCTTCCTCCCCGGGCCCGGCCCTTCCTCTTGCAGAGGCCTCCCTGACGGCCACTTCGAGCCCTCCCCCAAGCCTGGCCTCCCTGCCTGCGGCCTGGCGCTGGCCGGAGGGCTGCGGCTGTACAATGATTTCCCCTGGCTGGGTGGCACACCATTGTGTGACAGACCTGGGCTGGCCCGGATGCTCCTTGCTGCACAGCTGTTCCTAGCTCTGGGTGATACAGGGCTGAGAGCTGGGTGGGGACAGGAATGTACAGCTCTCAGGAAACTGGGAGGGAGGGGAACCCAAGGAGAAACAAAGAGATAAGGGGGTGCAGATATACCATTTCTCCTCGCAGCAGAGTCCCAGGCCCCCTGCTAAGAGAGCCCCACTGTGAAAGTCATGGAGGCAAATGATGTCCAGAAAACCTTCCCTGGGTCCTGGCTGCAAGTTTCTGGCACTTTATCACATCACAGAGTGGTGTCTCTCTGTTACGGGTCCATTTCCCCCACTAGATTGGAGGCTCCTTGAGGGCAGGACTGTGCCCAACTCATGTCTGACTTCCTAGCTCCAAGCACAGGCCTGGCATGTATTTGGTGTTGAATGAAGGGCATCTTGTGCCAGGGAGGGCTGGCTCGAACCAGGCAGATAACTGCAGGTGGGAACCAGAGGACAGTGTATGGCTCTGCTGGGCAGATACATGCAGGGTGATGTCCACCCATAACTCCATAGCGGACCTTTCCTGGAACCTGGGATGGTTGGTCTGATGTGGCTCATGGCCCTGGCTGGTGCAGGAGGGCTTAAAGAACCTCACTTCCCTGAATACCCATCTAGTGAGATCTGCCCAGTAGCAGAGATAGGCCATCCTCTGGTCACCTCTGGCTCGGCCATTAGGTTTGTGCTCGACCCTGGGGGTTCACTGCCTAGAGGTGACAGTCTGACCAGTGGAAGCAAATCTTCAAGGGTCCAGGGCTCCTTGGAGGCAAATGCCAATTGTGGGCGGGCATCGGCTACAGGGCCCTAGCTTGCCCCTTGTGCCTCATCTGCACCCGGGCTTAGCTGGGCCAGGGAGGAGTGGAGGAGGCACCTAAGAAAGCAGTGGGATCCGTCCTCAGAGCAGGCCCCAGAGAGAATGTCACCAGGAGGACATGCAGATAGACAGTGCTGTTCTGGGTTCTGAAAGCTACCATGGCCTGAACTACGTGTGGCTCCTCAAACTCAGCCCTGGTCATCGTTTGCTCTTAGACCTTTGTTTGGGTTCATCTCTGGGTCCAGGATATGCTTCGTTGTGCTAACTAAGACCAAGTGATAAGACAGCTCAGGTGTCACCTCCTCCAAGAAGCCTTCCCCAGGCCCCCGTTAGTGCTCCTGAATGCATGCCCATCTGTACTTTGCCACACACCGCCCCCGCCCCGCTCCGCCTCCCTGACTCAGCTAAATGAACAACGGACAAATATGGTTCAGTGCTCAGTTCCCTTAGCCCTATGCTGCTGGGGTCCCTGCAATTCTTCCCTGCGGTATGTCCCTTACAAAAACCAAATACCAGAGACCTTTCCTCCACCTGAAGCAGGAAAAAGAAATTGAAAGGATAGATTTCTTTTTTGACTTAAAAAGTTTCTCCTGTACATCTTTCCCCAGCTGGTACGGGATGTAGTTTGTCAGTATCACGGGTGTCCCAGCCCAGGAGCCATACACATAGTTTCTCGACGATGGCCTCAGGGAACCCCGTGCCTGATCCTAGTCATCGGGAAGGTACTTTCTGGGCGCAGAGCTGGTGATGACCACAATGAGGAAGGTAGAGAAAGGCAGAGTATACTTCTTACCACCCAACTTCCCACTTACTCAGGAGCTGGTGGGGCTGAGACCCGCCTCGAGGCAGGACCAGAGTGTCAGGGTCCTATACATGAGGAGGTCATGGTGTGGGTCTCCACTGGGCTAGGCTGGGTCTCTGCAGATGGTCTGTCAACAGACAGAAACTCTTTCTGCCCATGGGGACCGGTCCTAAGTTCTGCGGGAACTGCTTGGGTCATTACATATGGCTTGGGCGATTTCACATTTCCCCAATTGTCATGTCTTCCGGGGGCCCAAATGAAGCCAGATGGTGCCTCCAAAACATGGAGTCTTAGAATATCATGGGTCTCATTGGCTGCCCCCCCC